CCCCAAAACCCCAAAACCCCAAAACCCCAAAACCCCAGTGCAAGAGGTTTATTCCTGAATTCAGCTCAATTTAGTTAAGCCAAGTTGTTGGTTTCAAGTATTTATGAGGTTTGAATTCTAAAATCTTTGACAGAAAAATTATAACTTTTTACCCAGATAATAAGACTAAATCATAATCATTACTTTCTAATCCAAATTCTGCTCATATTAAAAATCTTCCCCAAAACCCCCTCCACAAACCTTCCTTCTTCACCAAAACAGCCCTCACATCAACCCCCACTCCTCTCCACCCAACCCCCATCCCCAACCAGCCATCCACCATCCCCCATACAAATCTCTACTATAACGCCCAAAACCCCAGCTTGCCCTCGAGCAATAACCAGAGTAATTATTAAAAGACTGGGCCAGAAATAGGATTCTGAGTGGGCTCAGAAGGACTTTGGAGGAAAAATTGGGTTTAAAGGAGGGAATTTGGGAGGAGAAGTAGTAGGGATGGCTAAGGGGTGGAGGGGTTGTTAAGGAATGGGTGGGAAATGGGGATAGAGGGGGTTGATAGGAGTGGAGTAATGGATTGGAGGTTGGGAAGGAGGTGATGTGTTGTTAGGAAGGACTAAGGGGCTTGGAGAGGGGAGAATGGGAAGGTTTTAGTGTGGTCAGCAGGTTGTGTAATTTCTCTCTTGGGGTTTACTATAGTGTGGATTTTTTAGTCAAGACTGGAGGAGGATAAAGGTGAATAGTTTTTATTAGAGATTAAGAGAGTAAATTTTTGAAGTTTTTGGTTCAGAATTTGTTACAGATATTACTAGGATTTTAAAATTTGATGCATAAATCATTCTCAATCTGGTCTTTGATCTTGAAATCCTCAAAGGTCTTAGGTATATAATTATTAAAAATGAAGCCGTATGAAGAAGAATCTTTAAAATCTTTAATTATTGAACTCATTTTTCTTGGGTTAGCACTTTTTCAAATATAAAAATTAGTATTTTGGAAAAATATGGGCCTTCCTCTTATTAATAATTAGAATACTCCGATAAGCCAGGGAGCATGAGTCCTGTTAGTCTTTAAAAAATAAACTGACCAGGGATCTATTTCCATAACAAATTGAGCCACTTGATTATTGTTCAAAGGAACCAAAAAAATGATAACCTAAGAAACATCTCAAAAACGAAGCAAAAAGCAGAAAGGATATATTCTGAGGAATCTGTTGAGAAGTTTATATAGAGATTATGAATTTGCTAGTTATATAAAAGCTAAGGAACCTGAAATTAACGAATCAAACCAGCATCAAAAAGAGTAACACAGAATCTTTCTATTAAATCAAGTCTAAGAAATTTAAGATATTAATTAAGCCTACCCAACTTAAAAAACCTATCTACAGCTCCATTTTCCCCCAAATAACCTAATTCCAACTCTAATCCCTCAAACGGGGTTTTGGGGTTTTGGGGTTTTGGGGTTTTGGGG